TATGACCAATATCTCAAAAGAAAGAAGATCAAAACCTCACAAGGTAAATAAATGTCACTCAAGGCAATCAAACAAATATCGAGGCAATGATCAACACAACCATCATCACAACTTCTCAATTTCATCAAACATTCATCAACAAATCCTATAATTCACCAATACCTCATGCTCAAAACCACAAAAACCTAAGACTAGACCGGTCCACCACATAAGCATGCAAAATCTAAATAAACTCCCCTACACTTAAATGAGGCAATGACCTCATTGCTTCAACGTAATACCAAGAAGTCAAATAAAAAGGACCTACAAATTTCATAAAGTGAACCAATACCGGCAACCACCACAAGAACACAAGACTCAAAAGCAAAAACAGGGGAAAGAACAACTCAAAAAAAGGTAAAAAGAAAAAGGGAAAAGGGTGTGCAAACCGAAGATGCCTCGAGGAGAATAAGCATCCACGTGCAAGCTACTCGCCACGCTCCACTCCGAACCTCGATATTCCTCCTGCTCAAGCTCGCAAACTCATACCTGCCAAGAAAAACACAGAACTCCAAACCCAAATTATTAAAAGATAAAATTAAAAGAGCAAAAAGGAAAATATCTAAGAAAGCAGTAAATCACTTGGGTTGCCTCCCAAGAAGCGCTTGTTTAACGTCATTAGCTTGACAAAACTTGCGTATGTATCAACCAGGATCCAGAAAGAAGTGACGGTCGTGCCACACCTTCGTATTTTCGAGAAGCGGCAGCATGGGAAGTTTGGCGAGAAGGCTGGCACAGTGGATCCGGGTGGCTATGTTCTGTATGAAGTGGTCTCGGGCACGAGCAATCCCCAGTGACCGACATAAAGCTTTTCCCACCTTCGCTCTGTCGTCAACCTCCGGGATGATAAGCACATCAGTGGAGGAAGTCAAACTGAATCTCACCCACTTCGTAACACAGTGCAACAGCCTCGAAGATAGATGCTCCAACTCAGAGGTGGGAGGAGTGACTTTAGAATCAAGCCCATGGATCTCCTCCTCTGAAATAACATCAACATCTCGCTGGAGCTCATCATCTTCTTATTCGGCCTCACACATTCGCTTCATCTTATGGGCTTGAGTATCAAGCATGAGGTGGGGATCGTTGACTTATGTCTCGATTGAGTCGATATGTGCTGTAAGGTTCTCCATTTGTGCGCTCAGCCGAGCACATCTGAGCTCAATCTCTTCTTCTCGGTTTGCTTGGGCCATCATCCAATCGAAGATGAGGTCAAGCGTGGCATTGTACCCCGAAAAGTCATCCTCGAGCTCATTAAAGTGCAAGGGTGCTGGATGGGGGTCCACAACCTTGGGATCATCAGCCTGGGACTCGATAGAGTCGATGCGCCTTACTAGATTCTCTACTTGCTCGCTCAAACGGGCATATCTGAGCTCAATCTTCTCCTCTCGTTTTCCTTGGGCCATCAATCGATCTAGGATGAGATCAAGTTTGGCATTGTAGACGGCCTCTTCTTCTCGAGCTGATTTGGACTCTATGAAATCAAGAATCTGGTCGAGCTTCTCGTTAAACTTGTGGGACTCATAAGTTTGCTCAACCGAAAAATCGTGCCAGCATTGCTCGGAAGAGTATGGATAAGATTGGGTGTGGTACCCAGCAGAATAGCTCGGCACATTGTTCCTAGATGGGTAGTGCAGGGAGGAGTACACGTGATTGAAGTTCATATTACCTGCACACCATAACAGACAACCACACGTAACCACGAAAAAGAGAAGAAGACAAAAACAAAAACAAAAACAAAAGAGAAAAGCAAAGATGCAAAGAAAGAATAAGAACGCTAAAAATACAAACATAAAGAGAAACACAGAAAATAAAATCAACACCAAAACTAAATATCTTACTTGCCTTCCCCGGCAACGGTGCCAAATTTGTTGTGTACAAATTGTTATATTTTACCGAGTACCGAATCAAGGATTCGTTTCCCGGGTCGATCTCTCGAGTAAGGCGGTTTCAAAATTTAACTTTGGTATCGATAACGCACAAAAAGAAAATAAATCCTAAACACTCTAATCGGGATGCGGTAGATAATTACCAACTAAGAAATAATATAAAAACAATAATCTACCTAGAAATATAAACGAAACAAAGATGGAGAAGCTAGGGAATCGGGGATAATTATTCAAGTTCTTAGCAAAACCGAGTACTTAATCGTTTAGTTTGAGATTGACACTCTCGCTTAGACATCTATCGGTTCGCTCCCAATAACTTTTCGTAACAAGGGATTGAACATAGGCGAGCTAGCTCAAGCATACAACACATGTCAATTACTCCAGTCCCAATAACTTTTCGTAACAAGGGACGGGTCATCAACTAGTGGGTATTTCAATCAAGAACCTATAGACTATTCAATTACGAAATCATCTATCTCATGCGAGCCTAGGTCTACGACTTCCCCCCTTTCGGTTCTAAAAGTCGCTAGGTCAACTAGAAGGTGTTTTTCATCAACTAATCATTTAGAATCAACAAAAACCTAACTCGACTAATCAACATTCAATCGTTTCCAATTGCAAGATCGAAGTGTCACTCTTCGATTATATCAATCAATCAAACAAGATTTCATCGATTCCTAATCAAATTAACTCGCACAAGAACAAACGAATCAAGCCCGACAGATACGAATTAAACAAGACAATCATCCCCTATCCCTAGCAATCAAAATTAGCTACGTAACATGAGTTCACCATAATTAATCATTCCTCCCAAATCAACCATTATTCATGAATTAATCAAGGGTGAAAAGAAACGTACGATTAATCTCAATTCCAAGTGTTGAATCCCAAAATACAAAGCTTAATCCTTGGCAATAATAAAAAGAAGAAGAAAAATAGAGAAGAAAGGTGAAGAGAAGAAGAAGAAAAATGAAGAATAAGAAGAAAAGAAGGAGAAGGAGAAAATGAGTTGTCGTGTTTTTTTCTCGGGCTTAGGGTTTCACTCCCAGGAGGGGAGATAATCCTCCTCTGATGAAGTTGTACGCCCCTATTTATTTGAAGACGTGGCCACGGCGTGAAAATTCTATGCAGCGGCGTGAGGACCCTTGGAGGCGCGGCGCGGTAGCATGACACGGCGTGGCAGAGGCATTCTTCACGGTGCGGGAGTGCACAGCGGCGCGGCAGGAGAGCCTTTGACGGCGCGGGAGTGCACAGCGGCGTGGCAGGAGGGAATGCGGCCTCGCGGTGTGTGGCGCGGCGCGGCGCTCGCGCGGGACCTGGGTAGCACGTCCCTCTTTGTGTCTCAGACTCATTTACGCTCGTTCGGACTTGAAATTTGATTCTGTTTTTTCTTGTGTATTGCCAACGAAACGCTCTATTTAATGATGTTCACCCGACCCAGTTATCATAGAAAATAAATTCTCCTAAAGCTTTCGAAGAAAAACCGGAAAAACATACGGAAAACACAAGAAGAACCAAGATAGAGGAAAACACGCAATAAACTACAAAATGAAATAAAGACTAACTAAAAGACCTAATATGGGGGAAAAAGAAAGGAAAAATAACAAGAAAAAACGCAACAAAAATGGGACAAACATATGCTCGAGCTTGTTCATCTATGTTCAATCCCTTGTTACGAAGAGTTATTGGGAGTGAACCGCTAGATTTTTAAGCGAGAGTGTCAATCTGGAATAGAACGATTAATTGCCCGGTTTTGCTAAGAACTTGAGTAAATTATCCTCAACTCCCTAGCTTCTTCATCTTTGTTTCGTTTATATTTTTTACGTAGATTATTATTTTATTTTATTTCTTAGTTAATAATTCATCCAAACTGCTATCTGATTAGAGTGTTTAGGATTTGTTTTTTTCCTTTGTATGATCGATATCAAAGCTAAATTCCGAACTGCCTTCCTCGTGAGGTCGACCCGGGGAACGAATCTTTCGATTCGGTACTTGGCAAAAATAAAATAATTTGTACACAACAGTACCGAAATATTTTTTGGCACGATTCTGGAGATTCATAAAATATCCGTACCGAGACTGAACTGAACCAGACCGATCAGAAAATAACCGTACCGAACCGAGGAACTGAACAAGAACCGATTCCAATTCACAAAATCCATATATATACATATATATATATATATATAATATCATATGTATTTTTTTCATCTTTGTATATAATTGAATTTAAAATTGAATTGTAAATAAATCTATATACAATATGTCTATGTCCATAAAGCTATCATAAGTTATATTTCAAATTGAGTTCCGAAAAAAAATCCACTATTGAATGTTAACAAATTTAATAATTGAAAAAATAATTATTTTATTTTGGTACTGCTTATGAGACACAATTAAATCTAAGATCTCATTTTCCAATTAATTTTTTGAAAAGAAAATTATATTAATATACTCTTCCTATTAAAAAAATTGATAGCCAACATGTCAAATATTTTATTAAGAAAAACAATAATTATAAATTAAACAAATTTAAATATCGAAGATTTGGAAACCGTCCTTTATGAAGTAAGTCTTTCATAGGACTTGGAGAGAATTATTTATTTAAAGGTAATATATTCTAGAATAAAAATAAATTGATAAATATTTTTACCAATATATTGGATTAAGAACATATATACTGATTATTTTGTTAATAAAAGTAATTATAACTTAATAAAATTAAATATCTTCATTTTTTAAAACAAACTTTATATGTAATATATACGAATCTCACGATATCGGAAGAGATTAATTTATTCGGACATAATATATTTTCAAAATATCCTTTTATTTAACAAGTAGCTATTTTTAAATTGATTATTGTTATTGGGTACGTCTTATCCCTTAAGGACTTTTTGGCATATAAATGTTAAACATATAAACCTTTTAAATTAAATTATGATATTTTGCAACTAAAAGATAATTATTGCTTTGTTTTTTTTTTTTTAAATAAAAAAGATTTTAACCACCTATCCTTTCTGATCCAGCTCATACATCTTCATTCTACCTATGAACTCATTGAAACCCATAAATCTAGCTGGACTTCTTTTTAACTCCTCCCCTCTTCTCTTCATTGCAAGAAATATCATTCCAGTCCTCTGCCACTACCCAACAATTACCCCACAGCATTCTATTTGTCTCAAGAAACTCCCATTGCTTTTCTCTAATTTTCTTATCAGTACTGAGGTAAATAAAGATCATCCAGCACCATTCAGACATTCCTACCCCTCTCACCTCCATTTGAATACAGAAGTCTTTTCCCACCAGTTGTCTCACTTCAGTCTCTAAGTCCTACATGACTAATATCCCTCCTTTAGTTCCAATAGGCTTCTCCAAGTGCCACATACTCTGGAAACCTAACTTATTGCACACTGTTTTTGTAAAATCACTTGGCTTTTTTGTTTCAGAAAGGAAAATTGCATTTGGGTGGTGGATTCTTTTGAAATCCTTGATTGGGGAAACTGTAGAGGGCCCACCCAGCCCTCTACAGTTCCACACCATAGCCTTAATTGGTCACCTTGGGGCCATTTGAGGCTGGCCTTCTCCACCTATGATTTTCCATTGTTTTCTTTCTTCCTTTTATCAATCAGAGCATCTTTAATGTCATCTATCCCCTCTTCATATATGATTAAATCTCTGCTTCTTTTCAAAATTGCAGGTGTGTTTTCCTCCCTCTATTGCACATTCACCCTCAAAAGTCTACCATCTGCAACCGACCTTCTCTTCCAGTATGTACTAGTTTTCTTCCTCATCGTTTTAACACCATGGCCTTTGAGAATTTCCTGTGGAGGACTTTCTTCACCTCTGCTTGTTTCTTCAGTTTCCGTTAGGCTAACAGCAACTTGGTGTGCCTCCTGTATACCAGTGACTTTATCATCTCTTCTCACTAAGACAAGGGCCCCGTTTGTTTTTTAGCGTTTTACTCTTAAAACAACGTTTCCAAATTTATAGCGGTTTGACTCTACAAATCCGCCGAAAAAATGTGTTTGGGAAAAAGCTTTTACACACAGCTTTTTTTGTCCAACCGCTGAAATTAAAAACGCTACATTTTGCAGCGTTTGAGATTAGCTAATCAAAATAAAAAACCAAAAAGTCTTAATTGCCCATTCTTATTCTCTTGCATTTCATTTTTCTTTCCATTTCCAAAACAAATTCACAAATTTGCTTGAACCAAAAAAATCATCTCTTCCGCTGTAACCGTTCCGGTTGCTCTTCGCCGACCGTCGACCACCGCCTCCTCCTCCTCTGCCAGACATCCTACTCTTCTGCCGGCGCATCTTACTCTCTTGTCGAGAGCGAATTCCCTTCACACAGAGGTACTCTCTCTCACACACACACTCATACACGCTCTCTCTCTTTATGTTCATCATCAATTTGAAAGGAATATGATGTTTGGGATTACAGAGTAAACAAACTAAGGGCTATTCTAATCCACCTGGTATCTGGCTGGGGTTTCGGCCTTAGTGCCTAGATGGTGTGCACACGAGTGGCCAAAGGCCGAGGGTGACGGGCCAAAGATTAAGAAAATATTGAGAAAAGAAAAGAAAGAAAAGGAAATGAAAGATTAAGTTCAACTCTTACATATTGATGTTCATGATATGTTATTATATATGCTGATTTTTTCAATACGGGTCTTTGCGGAGCATAGTGGTTTGCTCACGCCCCCATTGTGTTTTTCAGGTGACGGAGTCGAGCGGGCCGGGTGAGCAAGTGTGGCAAGTTGTGGTCATGAGTCGAGGACATTTTTACCACCATTTTATGTCCCATTATTCATGAACCAGTTTATGTATTAAGTTGTATGATTATATTCATATTTTATGCTTCCGCTAAGTTATTAGTGCGAAGCAGACGGACTGCATGTATAATTCTTATCGTCGTAGTCGTTTGAATGGGTGCATGTTTGATTTAATGTCGGAAAGATAAAGCTAAGAAAGTTTTCGTAGCATCCCACAATTAAGAAAGTATTTCCGAAAATAGAAAGCGAAAAATTAACTCTGATTTTTAAAAGTCAAAGCTAGTGAAGGCGGGGTGTTACAGCTTGGTATCAGAGCACTTAGTGTTCTGGATACCTTAAAAAGTTTTAGAAAAGCATGACCACGCCACGCTCACTCCGCACCGACTCCGAGGTAAGTCACCTAAGCCAAGTTTTAAGTTTTGCAAGTGCTGATTTAAGTTCAAGTATGGGCCTAGATAACTATCCTCCTATAAGACAGATAGCTCTATAGTAGACAACCCTAGACAGAACTCTAGAACTGCTAAGTCCAAGGACTCTAGACTAAGTTAGAACCTCAATTTGAGCCAGAACGTAGAAAGCTTAAGTATATCGGAACTCTAGCCAAGCTATGTGTTTTCGGAAATTATTTATCTTTTATTAATTCAAGTATAGTATGGATATTTCTTAATTGGCTATACTGATGAATTCAAGTATTATTGGATCTCCAGAATGCCGCCACGCAGAGATCCTCAAGCCGCAGCCGAGCAGGAGCAGGCTGTCGTAGTCAGTCGGTTCCGCACCTATGACCCGCCCCGTTTCTCAGGAGAGGATGGCCCGCTAGCCGTGGGCGAATGGATCCTCAAGATGGAGAGGATTTTTCGATGGTCTGCGCCGAGTTACAGATTGAGGGCGCCGCAGGAGATTGGTCGGAGGATTTCTGGCATTTCTGCACCGAGGACGAGCGTCAGGCCATGAGGTGGGCGCATCTTAAGACGCACTTGGAGGATAAGTTCTACCCCTACCATTTCCGTCAGCAGATGGCACGGGAGTTTGCCGCCCTACAGCAGGGTGAGCGATCAGTGGATGAGTACGAGCGTGAATTCACTCGTAAGAGTGTCTTTGCTCCACATCTCGTGGATACGGAGGAGAAGAAGGTGGCCCAGTTCCTTGATGGGTTTAGGAGCAACATTCGACTGTTGGTGGCTAGTCATGGCTACCTTGAGTATGCTGAGACTGTTGAGCGAGCTCAGCAGATTGAGGCGTATCTTCGGCGGGATGCCATTGCCCAACCGCCAGCCAGACAGCTAGCCGTCATCTAGCCTGCCCAGTCAGCACACCTCAGCAGGCAAAGAACCGCCACAAGAGAAAGATGAATGACCGTGACCACAGGAAGAACAACAGACAGAGGGGCCCAGCTCAGGCGACCCAACCAGCCAGGCAGGATCTGTCGGCTTGCGCCACCTGCGGACGTACACACCGCAGGGAGTGCCTAGCCGAGCAGAACGTCTCCTATCATTGTCGCCGACCCGGACATCAGATTGCAGACTGTCGAAACCGACTCCGACAGCAACCAGCCCAAAGACAGCTCGCTCAGAGACAACCAGCACCGAGACAACCAGCCCAGAGACCCCCAGAACAGCAGCAGCAGCGTGGAGCACCCGCTCATATTTACGCGCTTGACCAGGACCAAGCCGCCGAGCAGCCAGGTACTATGTCGGGCATGCTATCTTCATTCCATACTCTAGTCTTCGCATTGTTTGACACCGGGGCGACGCATTCGTTCGTCTCGGCCAAGTGATTGTCCGCCTTAGGAACCCAAGGAGTGAGTACAGTTGACCTTCTCGAGATCAGTCTTGATTCGGGAAGGAAGATAGTTATGAGTTCCCTGGCTCAGAACCTTAGCATCAATATCGAAGGCAGAACTTTAGTCGCATACGCTTATGTGATCGATATGAATGATTTCGACTTGATTCTTGGCATGGATTGGTTGACGAAGTACCATGCAGACATCCGATGCCGCGACAGGGAGATGACTCTACACGTATCCGAGGGAGACCACATCACATTTTACGGGACGAAGAACCGCATCTTACCACGGGTTATTTCCATGGCGAAGGCGACGAAGATTCTGAAGAGAGATGATTGTTAGGGTTTCCTTGTCAGCATTGTTGGGGAGACTCCCGAGGGGCCATCACTTAGAGACGTGCCCATTGTTCGTGACTTTGTGGACGTATTTCTGGAGCAGCTTTCAGGAGGACCACCCGACCGACAGATAGAGTTTACCATCAACTTAGTCCCTTGAGCGGGACCCGTGTCGAAAGCGTCGTATCGCATGGCGCCGAAAGAGCTTCAGGAGTTGAAGGCTCAAATTCAGAAGTTATTGAGTCTCGGTTTCATTCGACCGAGCGTATCACCATGGGGAGCACTCGTCCTCTTCGTCAAGAAGAAGGATGGATCTATGTGGATGTGCATCGATTATCGAGAGCTGAACCAGTTGACGGTGAAGAACAAGTATCCACTCCCTAGGATAGAGGATTTGTTTGACCAGCTGAGGGGGGCCAGTGTGTTTTCGAAGATAGATCTGCGTTCTGGTTACCATCAGCTGAAGATCAGAGAGGCCGACGTGGCGAAAACAGCGTTTCGAACAAGATACGATCACTATGAGTTCGTTGTGATGCCGTTTGGCTTGAGCAATGCGCCTGTGGTATTCATGGATCTCATGAACCGTGTCTTCCATTCGTTCCTAGACCAGTTTGTCATCGTCTTCATTGATGACATTTTGGTCTATTCCCGCAGCCCAGAGCAGCACAAGGAGCACTTGAGGACAGTATTGGAGACCCTTCGACGGGAGAAGTTGTACGCCAAGTTCTCAAATTGCGAGTTTTGGCTTGACAGAGTGGCTTTCCTCGGCCACATTGTCACATAGAGAGGGATTGAGGTAGACCCAGGGAAGATTGAGGCAGTCCGGAACTGGTCGACACCGAAGAATGCCACCGAGGTTCGGAGTTTCCTCGGACTAGCAGGCTATTACAGACGCTTCATCGAGGGGTTTTCGAAGATTGACCTACCCTTGTCTCGATTGACGAGGAAATTGGTGAAGTTTGAATGGAGTGACCGTTGTGAGGCAAGCTTTCAGGAGCTCAAAGCGAGACTTACGACGGCAACTGTATTGACTATTCTGGATCCCACGTAGGGTTTCACTATTTATAGTGATGCCTCGCAACAGGGTCTAGGTTGTGTGCTGATGCAAGATGGCAGAGTTGTAGCTTATGCTTCCCGTCAGCTTAAGCCACACGAGGTGAACTACTCGACTCACGACCTTGAGTTGGCAGCTGTGGTTCATGCTCTGAAGATCTAGAGGCATTACTTGTATGGAGGCCGATGCGAGATTTTCACAGACCGTAAGAGACTGCAGTATATATTCACGCAGAAGGAGCTCAACATGCGCCAAAGGCGATGGCTAGAGCTGGTGAAAGAATATGACTGCACCATCAATTACCAACCAGGGAAAGCGAACATAGTGGCCGACGCCCTCAGCCGTAAGGGAAAAGGCGAGTTGACCTGTATGAGTACTCAACAGTGTCAACTCATTCGAGAGTTCGCACATATGCAGTTAGAGGTCGTCGAATCACTTCCCAGGTTACCTTCGAGAGATCGTTCGACTCCACGGCGTTCCCGCCGAGATTGTTTCAGATCGAGATCCCCAGTTCACCGGCCATTTTTGGGAGAGTCTGAACGAGTCCTTAGGGACGAAGTTGAAGTTTAGCTCCGCATATTACCCACAGACCGACGGACAGTCAGAACGGACCATTCAGACGCTTAAGGACATGCTACGAGCTTGTGTCTTAGAGCGAGGAGGTTCGTGGGAGGAGTTGTTACCCACTGTGGAGTTCGCCTACAACAACAGCTATCACTCATCGATTAAGATGGCGCCGTTCGAAGCTTTGTACGGGCGCAAGTGCCGCTCTCCCCTATATTGGGATGAAGTCAGCGAGAAGAAGGTTCTCGATCCCAAGTTGATCGAGGACACAGTGCAGAAGGTCGCTGAGATCCGAGCGAAGCTAAGAGAGGCAAAGAGCAGACAGATAGCCTACACAAACAAGCGTAGAAGGGAGCTTGAGTTTGAGGCAGGAGACAATGTGTTCCTGAAGGTCTCGCCGATGAAGGGCGTTGTACGTTTTGGGAAGAGGGGGAAGTTGCAGCCCCGATTCATAAGGCCATTTGAGATTCACGAACGAGTTGGTGTGACCGCATACCGTCTGGTGTTGCCTCCAGAGCTCTCGGGCATACATAATGTCTTCCACGTATCGATGCTTAGAAAGTATGTGTACAACCCGAGTCACATTATCAACTTTGGCGAGCTAGAGGTCGAGCAGAACCTGACATATGATGAGAGACCAGTAGCAATCCTGGACCAAAAGGTTCGGCGATTGAGGAACGGAGATTTGGAGCTCGTCAGAGTTTGCTAGAGTCGCCACGACGAGTCGGATGCCACTTAGGAAAGAGAGGCCGAGATCAGAGCTCGATATCCAGACTTTGAGTTTAGAGATGTTCTGATGTATA